AAAAAAAAATTAGCCTGGTCGGGATCCGGGTGGATCCAGGTGTTATTCAACTCGGGCCTGCTACGATAGTACCCAAGTCAGGGTCCATTAAGAGAACTGTAGATTTCCGGGTCCGGCTCTATCATTCTAACAACTGGGCCGGGTCCAGGTATGCAATACATTACCTATGATTATCGTGAACTTCGCCGCACCTAATTTAACCTTTTTGGCGGGAACAATTTTCTCAGATATTCTTTTCTCAAATCTCAGCAACTCTCACTCCATTAGGGTTTTCTGATTGCAAGAATCTCTGATTCTCACTTGAACGGCTACGTTTCTGTCAGGTATGTCTCTTTAGCTTAAGTTTGTTTTCCTCTTTCTCGTCTTCATCTTTGATTGGTCGAAAAGGAAACGCAGGAAAATTTAATTTCAAAAGGTTTAATGTTCAACTAGAAATATTTTCGCTTTCTCCGGTTTTGTATAATCACTATCCTCGAGTTACTGTTGCTGAAATTACTTTCCCTAATTTATCAATCATTTGTTAATTTACATAACTGCTTTTTACTCTGTTTGGATTTTGATTAATGGGTTCTTGAAAAAGATATTAATTGAAGTCCCTAATTGGTTACTGTTATATTGTTTTAATTTTTTGATTTTATTGTCGTATGATGCTCTTGATGCTAGTTTACTGATGGATGTTATATATTTTTTCCCCCTTTATTGGCCAGAAATTGTATTGATGGCCAAGGACAAAGAGGAAGCCACACAAGTGAGTAGGAGAGCTACAAGATTGTCCTTGTCTACTGCTAATTCAACCAATGATATTGAAGCAGCAAAATCATTTAATTCCCAAACACTAACACTTGATAACTTAGTATTTGGACAAGAACCCATTGGCTTAGATGATTTGTTATCTTGTTTCCCAGGGAGGCGTGTTCAAATTCTCGAGATACTGCATCTTTTGGGTACCATAAAGTCTTCAATGCCTCCTATGTTTATATACGGGAGTGCTTCTACTGGAAAAACTAGTATTATTCTCCAAGTATTCCGCCATCTCAGAGGCCCTTTTGTTTATATAAGCTGTCTTTCATGTTACAGTCCTCGGATCTTGTTTGAGTCTATCCTGAACCAGTTGTTGTTTCATAAAAAGGATGCAGTTAATGGTTATTCAAGTGTGAAGAAATGTGAAAAGCCATCTGATTTTGTTAATTTTATACGTGAGGCATTGATAAATGTTATAGACAGTCTCAAGGAGAACTCAAAGAAAATGAGCTCAAGTAAGTTGAAGGGACAAGTTAATGGAAGGATGATTTACTTGATTTTTGATAATTTTGACCTTGTTCGAGAGTGGGATAAGAGTTCTAGTATATTACCTTTACTGTTTGGTCTCTGTGATATCTTGAAGATGCCTGAAGTGGGTTTTATATTTATCAGCAATAGCTCTCCTGATACTTATTACTCAAATACTGGTTACATGGAACCTATTCTTGTTTATTTTCCTGAATACACAGAAGATGATCTCCGTCAAATTTTCTTGAGAAACCAAGCAAATCAGAAGCTCTATTCCTCCTTTCTAGAGTAAGAATACAGAACTTATTTTTTCAATAGAATACAGAATTTATGTTTTCATTGATTCTCCTTTGATGGTTTGCTCATACAATTCATGGAGTTGTTTTTTTTCTTATCAAACAGTGTTGTGCTGAGACCATTCTGCAGAGTTTCCAGACGTTTGGATGAACTATCTACAGCATTTTCAACATTATTTAAAAAATATTGTGAACCTTTAAGTGATTTGGGAGTTGTACCAAATGAAGATATGAAGAGAAGATTGTTTAGTCATATTCAGCCACACATTGCTCATTCTTTGAATGAGATATTTAGTGTTGCATCTCAACCTTCTGTTGAATCTGAAGCCAATCAGGAGACCAGGAAGAAAGGAAGTGCTAAGAAATCAGTGGGTTCCAGAGATTTTGATGAGATAGACTTCCATATGTCTACTTCTGCTAAGTATCTCCTTATTTCAGCATTCCTTGCTTCAAGAAATCCCGCCACTCTTGATGCATCACTTTTTGATTCAACTGGGGGTTCTAACAGTCGCAAAAGAAAGAGGAAGTAAGTTTATTGGCAATCTGGTCTTTTAATTTATTTTAATTTTAGTATTACTTGAAAACCATGGTACTATGTAGTAGGATGTACAAATACTTTCACTTTTACTTCTAGAGCTATTTTGTCATTGTATTAATTGTGAGGTTAATTCTGCAAATTGAACAACATTCCCCATGTTTTTTTCCAAAATGATGAATGTATACTCAACTTATTATCTTTCCTCTGTATCAAATGGACTTTGAGTCAAAATTTTAGTTGCAACCTCTTGGTATTTTCATCAGTTTGTTGATCTTTATTTTTTTGAATAGATAGTATATCATCAGCATTTGTTAGGTACTAGACATTGATAATATGATGTTGCTCTATTGCATCTTTTACTTGTCAACATTTTAATTCTCTAGATTAACTACTTCCTGCTTAGGGTCTCTGAAAAATCAGTGGAAAGGAGGGAAGCAGAAGAAGAGGAGTTATTTATGAAAGGGCCTGGAACTTTCTCTTTGGAGAGATTATTAGCCATATTCCAGTGTATCACATCAGTAGGAGAAGATTCATTCGGTGAAGAGGGAGGAGCTGATGGTGTAACAGTTGAAGGAGAGAGTAATGGACTCATGTCTGATGTTCTCTTGCAACTATCCAGTCTCTGCAATGTTAATTTTATTGTCAAAGGAGGAAGCTGTCCTTTAGAGGGTTCAACTCGATATCGTTCTACAGTATCTGAAGATTTGGCTCTGAAGGTAAAAATTCTACAATTTTTACATTTATTACTGTTATTTGCATGATGATGATCTGTGTAATGCAATTTAATTCTCTCAATGATATTGTAAATTATTCAGTTACATACTTTGATCAATGTAGGTTGCAAGGAGCCTTAAGTTCCCTTTGTCAAAGTACTTGTTCAGAAGATAGTCAGTGATGTGAAGAGAAACTTGTATCATGGCCTTTTATCCGTTCCAGTGAAGAGAAATCTCAGAGACAAATCATATGGCCCATAATTTCAGATTCCCATGGTTTGTGCATGGCAAGTTGATTAACACACTCCTGGTACATATTAAGGGAGTGATTATGGGCATCAAGTAGATGAGATCAGTTTTTGATAGGAACTGTTAAAGAAATCTATATATGGTTTGATCAAAATACTGGTTTCTGGATAGTCAATGACTATCTTGCGCGTGTAATGGATTAGGGACTTGATGCAACCTAGTTGCTCTTTTTTATTTTATTTTTTTAGATATGTATATGTTTATTTTTCATTCTTAGAATACAAACATGTAAGCTTTATTTGAAAAGAGGCAACAGCAGATAGTGTCGGCAGGAATTTGTAAAATTCTGAAGAAAGGGTTAGCTTATGCTACCACTTCTAAAAGGTCTGTTATGAGGACTGTTCTGTAAGGGCCACCCACAACCGGACCTGTTGACACCTTATAGGCCTAAGCATGAGGAGTGAAATAGGTCTTTAACTTTTTCAAACATCATGCCATGCCAGGACAATTGAACAAAATGTCATTGACAAACTCAAAAGAAAAATGTTCAGTGGGTACAGTTGCACTTGATAGATGCATGTTTGTTTGGATCAGTTGTCTTAATTCTTAAATACGGGAAATACGTGTATTTCTGTTTATGATTACTACAGAACCAGGACGGTCGGTCCCCAGCGACAATGTGATTGGTTTTCCAAAGGGAAACAACCATTGTTGATGTGTGACAAAAGCACAAAAAAATGGTTGGAGTAATTGACGTCTTAAGCGACCATCAAGTTTGTATGAAAGCAATAAGGAAGTTAATAAAACTAGTTGTGCAGTTGGTGACCTAAATTAATACAAAGACTTTAGTCGGCGTTTGAGATTGACAGCAACCTCATCCAATTTCATGAAATTTTATAACTCTCTGTTCCTTTGAACCATACGTGTTTCGAAAAAAGGGTAGAAACCTTTGTTTTAAAACCCGGACCGGCTCGATCGGGACCCGACATCTTCTCCGGTCCGGTTCAATTTGTAGGGGGTTTTTTTATAATATTTCAAATTTATAGGGACTAATTGAACTTGCTAGGGGTTTTTTGGAGATATGTCAAAAGTTTAGGGATTAATTGGTAATTTTTGGGGGTATTTTAAAATAAAAAAAATTTAGGGACTAATTGAAAATTTGTAGGGGTAATTTTTAATATACTCAAATTTAAGGGATTAATAGTAATTTTTAAAAAATAAAATTATTGCTGATGTCACCGATCCAACCGGTTAGACCGGTTGACCTATGACCCAAGTAACAAAACAGGTTGTCCTCCGTCCGGATTTTAAAACAATGGTAGAAACTATCAAGAACTTGGGCAAAAAAAAATAAAGACTTTTCTTAATTTTGAAAATATTCGTTTGGGGATTTTTGTACTTTAAAATAATTAACAGGTATAATTGTATACTGCTACATTGGGAGGATTCATAAAATTTATTTTGGTGGCACTGTTCTCATTTCAAAAGTAAAATATATATATATTACAATTTCTTTATAATCATAATAGTGATTAGTGGGACTAACTAATTTTATTATTATGAGAAGGTTGTAACTTAATAAAAGGTATAGTTACAAAAATTTCTTATTAATTTTATATTTCATGTTTTAGTATTACAGTATTAGCTATGATTTCAATTCATATTTTAATAGTATTAAAATTTTAATTCAACCCTTTAATTATCTATTTTTGAAATAGATAGAAGATCATGTCTTGAAACCAGCAAAAATGTGTCCTTGATGGAATTATAAATGTAGTTGTTATATGGTCAAATTAATGTGAAACCACATACAATTGTCAATTGTTTTAAGCATTACAAAATTAAAGGCTTCGTTTGGTTGCATTTTGGAAATACTACTTTGAGTATTCCCAAAAAAGTTAAACAGTCAAATACCCAAAAACTCATAATATTATTCAACTTTATTCAACATTTTTTAAACCCCCTAAATTTGTTAATTCAATTAAATACCCCTAAATATTTTTAATGTTTTTGTTACGGCGACTCCGGCCACCCTCCGGCGGTGGTGGCCGGCTGTCCGTATTTGAGGGTGGATTGGAGGTGTTTTTGTTAACTTTTAATATTTTATTATAAGGGGTGTTTTGTAAAAAAACAAACATAGAGGGTATTTTATAAATTTGTAAATCCTACATCATACCCGCCCAATTCAACTTTTTTTTTAACTTTTTTCAAAAAACTTTTCCCAAAAACACAAAATTGTGAACCAAACGGAGCCAAAATCTCCAATGTCGATGAATTGTAAGTTACAAATGAAGTGGATAAGGAGAATCAAAGTGTCATTGTAGAATTGAGTGATCAGATTTGGCAACTTTATTACACTAATCAAATAGATATTAATGTTTTCCTTAATCATCCAAATGAGCAACAAGTCATGTATACTTTAACTGAAGAAAAAATCATTTCTACAATTAGACAATAAGAGAAATGAAATAATCACGAGGATGATAGTACGGAAATACAAAAGTTTCATGTCAACCAGCTTTAAACATGCTTGAAAAGCTAGAAATATTTTGGCTTCAACAAGAAGATATCCATGCTAGCAAGTATTGTACCCGTTAGTTAAAAGATGTGGTAACAACTCTAAAATATAAACCATTCTCTCAAACAACTTTAAATAAATATTTTATTTCATCTTAAACCTTTAATGTAAGGTACTATATATTTTTGCAATATACAAATAATTATTACCATGTAAAGACAACTTTTCTTAAGACGGAAATTAAAAAAATTATAACTTATTACAATGTAAAGTTTATTCTTATTTATAACTATTTCAAATTGTAAATATAATTTTTTATGACTATATAGGGCTTATTCTTATATAGAGTATTATTATAAAAAGTTTTTACTGTATATATCTTTTTTGTGATTGAAGATGTTCGGACTAGTTTGCGTATGCTTTGACTAATTCTTTGAAACCTTGAAGTTAAAGACCGGATAAACCCTCTAATAGCCACTTTTTTTAACAATCGAGAGAAATCAAAATTAAAACCTCTTGAGTAATACACCTAAGAGTCTTTATCGCTCCATCCAAAAGTGTATATTTAACATAACCAATAAAGGAAAGTTGGGCAAATACGGCCCCATAATGGCTCGTTCGTTTATTTATTAAAAAGAAAAAAGAAAGTGAAAGTGACTCATAAATAGTTGTTCGGTGGCACGGTATCGAAACCCTTTTCTCAATTAATTTGAGGAAACGAACCGAAGTTTTAAAGT